TTGCCGCAGATGGTTAAACCCGTAATTCTGACCCAAATTAAGCCTTTTTTAGATTAGTCATTACTAACTCGCCCAAGCTTTTCTGGAAAAAAAAATTTGCACTGAACATAGATGAACAGATTAGGAACAGTATTGGTGGTTTGAAAATGTTGGTTAAAAGACAATAAAACCAGTGAACAGCACCAACGACCTGTTGGGCCGAGTGGAAGGAGTTCGGTTTCCCTTAAGTAAGGTCTCGAGTTCAAGTCTTGTGGATGGAGAAACAGGCTCTGAGAGAGCTTTCCACCTAATGGTGTCCGATACGGCTCGATTCCAGATTAATCGGGACCAAAAGTGGTTACCAAACACTGGGAGGTTAATAAAATAAAAAAAAAACCAGTGAACAGCAACAAATCTGAGAGACAAAATCCGGAAATGCAGGGTGAGTTTACTAAGGTAAGGAATGGAATCAAAATATGTTGACCACGTGTGCTTGATGCAAGGTTGTCCAAAGTTTGTGGAAGAGATGCTACAAGCCTACAATTGGTGGGGGTTTTGTTCCATATATTTTTTCGGACTCAATACATTCTTTAGCCCGACTCATTCTGTAGGAGTTACCAGTTTTGTAAGCGCAGAGCTATGGTCAATCTTGTTCTTTGTGAGAATTTGGTCGACCAGCTGGTTCATGATAAAATTGATTTTACATAATGCTCCTAATTGGAATGAGAATGCTGTATTTGAAATGATCCTAAGAACTAAGAGGAACCTTCGCTTGGTAGCGTGGAAGGCAAGACGATAGTGTTTTTGCATTTCACCAATGGTGCTTGCTTCCAGCCTCAAGTATATTCGTGAGCTTTAAACATGTTTTCTTTTTAGTCTCTAATTTTTTTTTTTTTTGCCCTTGTTTAGTGCTTTCATTATTTTTTATATATATCACATATTAGATGAAAGAAATTTTAAAATAAAAAAATTAAAAAATTAAAAAAATTAGTTTTTGATCTCTTTATTTAAAAAAACTACTTTTTAATTTATCTTTTTAAAAATTTTTGTTATCTAACGTACTACATATATAAAAAAATAACAAAAAAATTAAAAAGTGATTGGGTAATAAACTTTAAAAATTATAAAGAAACATTTTTAAATAAAAAATTATAAATGTTTTTATTAAAATAAAGAAATCAAAATAAAGTTTTAATCTTTTTCCATGTATGTGGAACGACGACCTTAACCATATATTAATGTAGATAAGCATGAGGATAAGAATTCTTCCTCTTCTATATCAAACTTTCTATTTGCACTACCTATATTATTATTTTTTATAGTTAACAACCTCTAATATTTTTCCTCTTGTCAAAGCCATGTGCAATTCAAAAGCCACCAAAAACCCCAAAAGGTAACAACATGTCACCTGTGAATCACGTGCCGTTACATTCCCATCAGATGCTTCATCAAAATATATGATTGAAAAATAATTTAATAATAATTTTTTATATTATTTATTTATATAATATTATATATCATTTAAATAATTTATTTTTTATT